TTATTTTACAGTTAAAATATATGTTTATCAAATAAAGTTTAATGTTACAACTAATCCTGGATCCCTTTAAAACAATTATGGTGTGTGAAGGGATGCTGAAACATCTGTTTATTTTGGTCTGTATTAGAGATGGACTGATTCAGACACCAGTATCTGTATCAGCTACTGTATCTTTTCTGATAGTTAGTGAATGTATCATGGTTTAATTCCATTTTAGGGCAGCCTGACAATCACCTCTCAGCTGAGCAGTCAGGCGGTGGGGGACGAACAAGCCTTGTGGAGATACTGTATTTCAAAGTGAATGATTGTTACTAAAGTAAAGCAAAGTTGTGATGGAGAAGAACAACTGAACCAAAAATATTAACTTCTAATATARTCACATGCTCAGCGGCCAGTACCACAGTCTCGTAATCCAGAGACCGRCAGTTCAATCCCAGGTTGTGTCAGGAAGGGACATCTAGTGCGAAAAGAATATGCAAGTTCACCTGCTGGGGTGACCCATGTAGAAGAGAGCAGCTGAAAGAAACACAACTTTAAATCAACACAAAGTAATTTTTATCAAACTGCAGAACATTAAACTGAGTTTTTACACCTCAGAAAATCTAATCAGCAGTGCTGTAAAACATATAAGATACTGTATTTAGTTTAATTTGTAGGAAACTTAATATGAACTAACAAAGTGAATACTTTATGCTTAAGACAGGTACAGACAGTGGAGGAGAGGCTCATGTACATTTCCTCTTATGCTCAAAGACTGTAGTAGCTTCCTGCTGCTGTCAGAAAGCTCTAAGMCTTCAAACATACTCGCTCRGACGCCGACMGGTCGACGKGCGGTCACGTGGTTGATKGGCTGTCGGCAGTGTTAAACCTTTGTGTTTTGTATTTCTGTATGGGGAAAGGCCAGATGCTTAATACTTTGGTTTTAGAGCTGGGCAGTTAACTATATAAATCGTGATAGACGTGATCAATATCAATGGAAAATTTGTCCCATATAATGTTGTGAATTTCACTGAACTGTGATCCAGAWCTGCACAACTTTCTAGGGGATGTAGGCAGAGTAAAAGCTTTAGGCCAGAGGTGCCCAACCAGTCGCTCGCCAGCTGATTCCCAGGTGCCCGCGCAGCCTTGCTGCGGAGCCTCTAGCGCCAGCTTTGAGCATCGCATCCTGAAGTGGCTAGTCTTGTTTGAAAGCTCTGGTTCGGCCCTACAAGGTGAAAGTTGATTGAAGTCCCTGTGACGTTCTTCCACGGAGCAATAAGCAAAAAACCTCCAAAATACGCACTGTCGGACCTCCCGCCGGGGTGGTTTTAGCCCCCCGTCCCAAGCTGGGAGCGTCAGAACCCGGCCTGGATGGTRGGGTTTTAAAGCCCTGGCTCTCCCCTAAAAGGAGAAAGTTGAATGAAGTCCCTGTGACGTTCCCCTGCGGAGATATAAGCGAAAAACCTCCAAAATTACGCACCGTTGGACCTCCGCTGGGGGTGGTTTTAGCCCCCCCCGCCCCCTCGGGCTAGGAGCATCGGATCCCAGAGTGGCTGGTCGGGTTTTAAAGCTCTGGTTCTGCCCTACAAGCTGATACTTGAATGGTGTCTCTGTGATGTTGCCCCGCGGAGCTATAAGCAAATTACGCACACCTTAGTGCATTTTACGCTCATTTTTGGGAGGAAATTTCAACCTTTGTTTGCTTCTCCCGCGGGCTCTGAACATCAAATCCAGGAAAGTGAGATGACTTTGGAAAGCTGCGGTCCTCCTCTACAAACTGGAGGTGGTTGCAAGTTTCTGGGACATTCCCCCATAGAGCTATTAACCAACGACCGGCCGAAAAAGGCGCTTTGGCGGGCGATATAGTACTCAATTTACTCCGGAGCCTCTAGCTCCGGCTCTGAGCGTCGGATCCAGGCGGTAGAGGCTCGTTTTAAAGTTCTGGATCTTCGCTACAAACTGGAGGTGGTTGCAAGTTCCTGGGACATTCCCATGTGGAGGTATAAGCAATCAAAGTCATCGGGCGAGCTCCGGCGGGTGAAACAGCTGATTTCCAGCACGGGGCTGCTTGAGCTGATGCAGGGGAAGAGATCCAGTGAGGTGGAACCGTGGTCCTACATACAGCACCTGCTCTCCCGCCTGGATTCAGCCAGAAACCCCCTGGCGGGCGATATTTCTGCAAAAATGCATAAAATTCAGAAACCCACCTGATGGATCACTTCCAG